GGGCCGTAGCCAGGATTTTTTTTGTTGGGAGGGGGGCATTTAAATTCCTTAGGGGGAAGTCAAGTCAATTAAAGTTAAATAAAGTTAATTAAATTCAGGTTACAAACTTCCAAACAAGGTGACACAGACAAGCGGCTAATCAGGCACCAGGGCGACAGGCAAGTGAGTGGCCAGCTGCGCAAGCCCGGCTCGGGCCACTCGGTGACAGAGAGTGGGGGGGCGAACCAGCTCGACGTCCCCCGCAAGACAACCCCACAAAGCGCTGCTGGCTGGCTCACCTGCTCCTGCCACTGAAATAAATCCTCCGCTCGCCATTCCCACCCCTCTAGTCCCATTTTATGCTGCCTCCCGACAATGTAAAAAGAGCCCGAGCTGGCTCGAGGGGCAGCAGGCATGGCCCCGAGACGCCCCACCATAGCTACGGTGGTTTGCCATGGCCTGCCTCTGCATTGTGGCCCAGGTAATTCCTTAGAGGTCTCCCATTCAAATACTGGCCTGGGCCGACCCTGCTTAGTTTCTGAGATCTGATGAGATTGGGCTAGCCTGGGCTAAACCTGGGGAGGGGGGGGGAACGTAGATCTGGGGGAAACTTGAAATCTATGCAATACTTTTAAAATCAAACCTGAACTGCTTCAACAAAATGAAATACATGATGTATCACATAGCATCAGGGGTCATTTCCTGCAGGAGCGCACAGGAGCAGAGCTCCGGCAGTAAAGAGCCCAGGGGGCGGGCACATGCAACAAGCCCCACCCTCTGCTCCTTCTCGCCCTCTTTCTTTCCCCCCTTTTTTCCTTCTTTCTTTCCCTCCTTTCCTTATCTCCATCTTTGCCTCCTTATTTCCTTCTCTCTCTCTTTCTACACAGCTCTGTGTGAGGGCAGATCTGTGCGCCCCCCGCCCACTAGGAATCCAAAACAGTACAGTGGCACTTTTAAGACCAAGTTTTATTCAGGTACAAGCTCTCCTCTGCAAGGGTAGATCTGCATGTCCGTCCATCCCCCCCCCCATAGCTAGCAATCCAAAACAGTCCAGTGGAGCCTGAGCAGTGGGTGTTGCCTTCTGACACACTTCCAGCGATGTCAGGGGGTGTGGCATATGCAAATGAGTTATGCTAATGCGTTATGCTAATGAGCTCCTGCACCTCTTTTTCTACAAAATGACCCCTGCTTAGCATATAGAAGGGTATGAAATGGCATGTTTTATGAAAAGATGAATATGACTTAGTGCTTTCACACGCACTAAATAATGCACTTTCCATCCACTTTCAGTGCACTTTGCAACTGAGTTTTACTGTGTGAAATGGCAAAATCCACTTGCAAACGGCCGCTGAAGTGGATTGGAACTGCATTACTTAGCATGTGTGAAAGCACATGCGAGCTGCAAACTGCTCAACCCTGTGCTACCTTAACAGACGTATCTTTGCTTTTGCCATCTGAAAGGTTGGGGTGGAGGGAGCTGAAGATACAAATTTTGTACTAAGCGAAAGAATGTTATTTGGACAGAAACAGTCACATGCAGTCACAACAGGCTGAGCAGCATATTTTTAACACCGAGAGAACTGAACTATCATATTATTATCAGAGTGTAGGTGTGACACGCAGCAACTTAAAACGATTTGTGTGAATAAAACCAAGCATTTAAAAGCACTGCAACGGGAGGTGGGTGGGACAGGCAGTTCCACTGTGCTAATGGAAATCCCTTCCACCAGCCAAGATTTTCTGAGGGATCCAAGCCTTTCTTCCCAGGATTTTCTGGGGCATCACCCCAGGTGAAGTAGAGGTGACAGCAGCCACAGGTCTGACCTCTGGCCATCTCTGCCACCTTGAGAGAAGAATCTGGCCATTTAAAAATGCCACATGTGCCTGATCTAGATCAAGCTCATATGAAGCTGCCTTATACTGAACCAGACCCGTGGTCCATCAAGGTCAGCATCATCTACTCAGACTCTCCGGGGTCTCAGGCAGAGGTCTTTCCCATCACCTATCCCCTGGGTGGAGCAAAGGCTCTACCACTGAGAAGAGACTGGATTTATATCCCACCCTTCACTACCTGAAGGAGTCTGTTTACAATCTCCGTTCCCTTCCCCTCCCCACAACAGACACCCTGTGAGGTAGGTGGGGCTGAGAGCTCTCTCTCGAGAACTGCTCCTGAGAGAACAGCTCTGAAAGAACTTGTGACTGACCCAAGGTCACACCAGCAGCTGCATGTGGAGGAGTGGGGAATCAAACCTGGTTGCTCCCAGATTAGAGTCCGCGATCCTAACCACTACACCAAACTGGCTCTCTGAGACACAGTCCCTCCCCACAAAAAGGCACCAGACGATTCTGGTCATGCAAGACACATGGAGATGCTTTATACTGAATCAGACCCTTGGTCCATCAAGGTCTACTCAAACGGGCAGCGGCTCTCCAAGTATGTTAGGCAGGGCTCTTTCACATCACCTGCTACCTGATCTTTTAGCTGGAGATGCCAGGGATTGAACCTGGGAGCTTCTGCATGCAAAGCAGATGCTCTGCCACTGAGCCACGGCCCCTCCCCAAGCAGAGTCCAGTGGTGCAGTAGGAGCAGGCAATTCCCCCCCACACATACCTTTTCAAGCACCAGAACAGCACCCCCATGTTTGTTTCAGCACTTTAAAAGGGGGGGGGGTGAGACAAGATTGCCTGGTTTTGCTGGGCCACTCCTCATGCTTGGCTTCATTAGCCTTTCATTGCCAGAGCCACCATTGCAGACCTCACATTCATCCAGCAGACTGGTTACTTTCCCAAGAATAAGTAGTCGTAGTGTCATTAAGCAGACAATAGATAAAGCTCTAATATTTATACTCACATTTTTGCCCCTTAAAAAAAATAAAGGAATAGCGTATAAGGGAGTTATCATCCCAGATTGCTTTACTGCCCGACTTGGATGTCTCAGGGCAGCCCGATCTCGCCAGAGTTCAGGAGCTAAGCAGGGTCGGCCCTGGTGAGTACTTGGGTGGGAGACCACCGGGAAAGTCCAGGGCCACTATGCAGAGCCAGGCAATGGCAAACCACCTCTGAACGCCTCTGGCCTTGAAAACCCTACGGAGTTGCCATAAGAATGTTTTACTAACTGCAAAGTAGGATGGGATGGGTGTCCGATGTCTCTCACCCCAGTCACTGGAGAAGGTGTCAAGAGAGCCAGAACTACATGAAACCGTTTCCAGACGGTATTCCATGGTGTGATTTTTCACAATGGATGTTACTGTAGAACAGTGGCTGTGTACTTTCAGTTCCCAACAGAATTTAACTAATGCATTCTCAACAGCCACACAGGGGTCAGCAGAGTCAAATGTTGTATTTCCATTTCACACGATTGCATTTTAGTGCATATGCACAGAAAGGTTGCATATATCAATTAATACATTCTTATTTCTAAGCAGTGTGAATCCATGGGTGGGTCACAAGCCCTTCTAGAGGCTCCTTTTATGCTGTTATTTTTTGGGAAGAATGTACAGAAAGCAAGGGCCTCGTCCTCCCTGCCTCTCTCCCTCCCCTGCCCGCTTGCCCTCACTATCACAGCTTGTAGGAACCAGGCAGGGATGATGTTGCATAAGGCAATGCCGGTCATCACATCCACAATACTCTAGGAATTTCCCCAATCTCTATGGTCCTTACCATAGAAACTTGGAGAATTCCTAGAGCAGTGCATGGGGGGGGGGGTGACATCATTTGCATTTGGTTACCCAGAAATAATGTTGCCACACCAGCACCACCTCCCCACGCTACACCCCACTTGTTCTATTGCCCAAACGCTATATTTATTTGCTTAATTTATTTCCCGCCCACCCCACAGGCAGGCTCAGGGTGGGTTACAAGATAACATAAAAGTCATGACAATAATATCAAATTCAGACACATAAAGTTAAATTTTAAAATTTTTAAAGTTAAATTTTTAAATTTAGTACCAGACTAGAGAACCAGAGTGAAAGTTGCCTCGGTAGTGGTGCTCAGATGGAGCCTTCTGTCATCAGAAATCAAGCCACAAGGCCAGGGCTTTCTGCAAGCTGTAAATCCTTGCTTGGCATTTTCTTTTTGGCAGCTGTTCCCCCCACCCTCAGTCAATATGATCCGGCAAATGCCACAGAGATGCCTGTCCCTTGGTTCATGCTACCTGGAGCAAATTAAGGGGAGGAAAAGGTAGCGCCATCCTGAACATTTGAATACCAGTATTGGAATAGCTCCCAAAAATTTAACCCGTACAATCCATATAGAAAGCATAAGTGGCCAGGAAGATGCCCCTGATCTTTAAAGTGAATGAAAGGGTTGAACAGAGACGTTTCTGACTGGCAGGAAGACTAAGATCACTGCCTGCTCCTGCATCCGGCAGTGATTCTTGCTTCTACGGGAAGGAGGACAGGGAGGAGAAACCAGATAAATCGGGGAAACGGCAGAGGTCATTTTATCATAGACTGTACTGAAGGGAAGTCATTTGTAGGCATGTGCGTAGAGACAGCAAAATGTACAATCCATTCTCCAGGTAAAAGGACCAGATACTAAATGATGTGAAAGGCCTCCCCCTGAGACCCTCGAGAGCCACTGCCAGCCTCCGTAGACAGTATTCACCTGGAGAGACCCAAGGATCTGATTCAGTACGAGGCAGCTTCACGTGTATTTGGGCAGACTGCTTCCACGTATATAATCGCTACAGCTCAATCCAAGACCGGGTGCACCAGATCTTAATTCCACAAGTGTGAGGCGTGTTGTAATAATAACTTTGACTGTCTTTGAGCGTGTGCAAAGTGACCTTCAGTTACTACCAAATGAAAACAGCTTCCTCACACAGGGTAACTTTCTAGACGGGCTCGAGTCTCTCCCCTCCCTGGTTACGGCTGAAAGACAGATCCCCTCTTGTGCTGGGATCACTTTCAAAAGTCGCCATCGACAGACGTTGGGATAAACAAATGTGTGCTTACATTCTCACTTCAGCTGATAAATAACAAAACTATCACACCACACCGATGTTTATTTTTCCGAGGCGCGGAGACAACTCATGCGGACCATATTCATTTTGTATAATTATAATCTACAGTGTATATACTGTATTCTCCTTTTACATATTCTACATTCTCTTCCATTTCCACCTTAAGTGGCATAACGGGCACTAGCAAAGACCCAACTATGTGTTCTTCCTTCCTTCTAGAACAAATGTGAACTGGCAGACAAGATTTTAAGACCATCAGTCAAAACAGAGGACAAACAATGCAAGATTAAAGAATCTTATCCACAGTTCTTTTCCTGAAGGGTACAAAATGTCGCGGTGTCATATACATTCACTGGGTGTTCTGACCAGAGAGCCAAGATGTTATGTTATTTTGATGGAAATATTTCTCCCTTCAAGAACTGAACCGCCTCGTCTTTCTTCAGTTTTTGAAATTCCGGGTAATGAACCTGAGCAGGGGGAGGAAAAAAGGGGGAAAGAATATCAGTTTTGATCCTAACTAGTGCTTTAGAAGTATATTAACTAAGCATACATTTTAAAAGTATGTTTGCTTATGTCTCTGAAACTCAGAGATTAATTAGTTCAATCCACCGAAATAATACGAACAATATACCGTCCTAGGGAATTTATGCCTAGCCCTAGCCTTTGAAGCACAGGAACTCCAATAAACTAAACTAAGTTATTTAATGTATCCAGATATCGGTTATGCCCTACCCTGCATATCCTGGACTAGCCCAATCTTTTCAGATCTTGAAAGCTAAGCAGGGTCAGCTCTAACTAGTATTTGGATGGGAAACCACCAAGGAATGCCAGGGTCGTGATGGGAAACTACCAAGGAATACCAGGGTCATGTAGGATGTACAATGTAGCAGAGAAAAAGACAGACACGGCACACGTGTACCAGCTTTAAAGAGTGAAGTTTACGAATTACTTATTGGAAAAGGGAACTGGGAGTTTAAAGCAACAAACATCCTGTCTGGCTTTCTCACCTACAGCTTGTCACCTTAACATTTACCTTGTGCCTGTGCTTAGAACAGTAAAACTTTTCTAAGCCTCCACCCCCGGGACATTTTCAGACCTACTGATCAGCCAACGGACAATCCCAATACCTACTCATTATGCATACTGTCACCTAGGAAGATACATGCAGGCCCTGAGCTAACTCACTAGGAGATCAGCCTGCACGAGTAAGCACACAAATCCTTTCATGACATCGGGAAAGGAACTTGCTCACGTATCCCAACAGTCAGGCGACGGTAAACTGCCTCTGAACGTCTCTTGCCTTGAAACCCCCAAGGGGTCGCCGTAAGTCAGCTACGACTTGACAGCCAATGACAGCAACCGGAAGATATCGGCTGCCGTTCTGATTCCTCTTACCAGGACCACGCGACAGCCGAGCAGACTCAGATGTCTCATCTTCATGGCCAGCCTGCCGCGGGGGTGTCTCGAGCCAAAGCAGAGGGCAGACGCGGGAACACACAGCACAGCCACCCTAGAACCAACAGCAGCAGCCATGAAGTCTAGGACAGCAGTAGATGGGACTGCACCCAGCTGGGAGACATCACCATCACCCAGTTATCGAAAGCGTTGCCCGCCCAGAAGCCTATTTGCTTGCCACAGACAAATGCTGGACGTGTGCAGATTTGCTCCTGGGGCTGGGGAAGCCGTAACAGGCCTGCAGACTTGGCTCTCCTAGCCGCCTCCCGCCCCCTTCCAGCTTTTGCAGCAGAGTTGCAGAGATCTGTGCACCTGCAGCACAGCTGACCGGCATGCAGACTGTGCTTTGCGGATCGGGGGACTCGTTTCGACGTGCCTAAAATATCAGAGCTGGACTCCGCTGCTGCTTCAGTGTTGCCTCCCTTTCACGCTCTTTCCCACTGTTATTACACATTGGTTCAGTTGCAAAGGACTGGCGGATGATGCTCGTGAGAAGAAGGCCTTGAAATTACTCCTGAACACAGCAAGGAAGTTCTGGATCCTTGCAGCATGACTTTTTCTGACCGGGGGGGGAAGGGGCCTTGCCTGCTGCCTCCATACTGACCAATGGGACGGGAGGAAGAAAGAAGGGCTCTCCCCTGCAACAGCTTGAACTTCTTTTGCGCCAGAACAGGGGGAAGCATTTGCTTAAACTCTGGCTATTCAAGTACAAATGAACTGGCTGCGATGACCACATGGGACACAAAAGGAAACAGATCTGGCCAAGCTCTTAACACAGGGAGATTTCATCTTTAAAAACAGAAACGTCAAAGCTACACAACCCCACAAGTTCAACAGCATTCTTGTTTCACTGCTGAATTAATGACAGCCTTCAGTTTACCCCAAGAACTGCATAGGTTTTTCCTTCTACCAATTTCCTTCAACCTTGTGAATAAGTCCAAAAATATCACCCCCTCTCCCACACCCCCCCCAACCTATAAAGACTGGCTAGTCATCTGGACAGCCCGATCGCATCAGATCTCGGAAGCTAAGCAGGGTCAGCCCCGGCTAGTATTTGGATGGGAGACCTCCAAGGAAGACCAGAGTTGTGACATGGAGGCAGGGAATGGCAAACCACCCCTGAGCGTCTCTTGCCTTGCAAACCCTACCAGGCTGCCATGAGTCAGCTGTGACCTGATGGCAAAAAAATAAATTAAAAAAATGGGCTAGTTAAAAACAAGACACAGTCTGTACGGGATCCCCGCTCAAACACAGTTTAAGCACAGGCTTCAGATCGTTGTCCTCAGAGACAGTGTGGTCGAGCTTAAGACGGCGGACCAGTAAATCCACCCTCTCCAAGGGGAAGACCTGTACACTTACAGGACCAAATACGGATGACAGTGGGTGCCAAACTGGGGGACAGTCTACCAAGGGAGCTTTGTCTAGGGAATCTGGGGCAAGGAAGACAAAATAGACATGATTATATAATTCAAGCAATCAAGTTGGCTTTTTAAATGTGACGTGGAGGCAGGCAATGGCCATCAACTTCTGAATGTCCTTTGCCTTGAAACCCTACTTGTTTGCCATTAGTTAGCTGTGACTCAATGCTCCCCCCCCCAAAAAAAGTCATTCGTCGTGCATACGTGACTCTACATAAAAGGAGAAAGAGGTGTCCTCCAGTTGAGGTTGGCTGATTGGCTACAGGGAATCCTTCATCACAACAAAAGAGACCAGGCGAGCAAATGGCTATTATAAGCCCAGCTCCAACACTGCAGAACAGAACATCAGAGAGAAACAAGCCCTTATATTTCTCCACTTATTGCAATAGCGTTCCCAGTAGAAGGTAACTGACCTCTTCCACAGAAACCTCAAAAACAGACCAACCCACAAGTGAATTAGTTATTTTAATTTTTGTTTTTTGCAGCTAAGCTTATAATCAAATAAAGGCACCTTTGAATTCTGGAATCATCTCCTGGCTGATCGGCTTCAATGCTGGGCACCACCGTTCTGTTGGCATCCATTAGGATTTCAAAATCTGGGGAAAGAGGAGAACTATCAATAGCCTACCAGGGAAAAAGAGAGCTGGATCCTAACCTTCCTTCCAGCCACCCAAGGGGCACTTCTGCTCACACGAGATTCCCAGTGATTCCCCCTTTGCAGCTCACGGTGGTCCTGAAAGTCCATCGATAGAAGCTGCATTTTGGGGAGCACAGTAGGCTCAAGTGGGAAGGGATCCAACCCAAACAGTTACAAGGCTGCGCTCTATAGAGAGATTTCTCACACGGCTGTGGACCAGCCAGAAAGACCAACCCGAAACTCAACTCAACTCATCTCATAACCACCTGGCTTCAAAGTAAGTAGAAGACGGCATGACATGGACTCAAGTCTATGTGTGGAAAGCGCCATCCAGTCACAGCCGACTCACAGTGATCCCCTCATGGAGTTTTCAAGGCCATGGATGAGCAGAGGTGGTTTGCCATTGCCTGCCTCTGCCTAGCCATCCTGGGCTCCCATGGTGGCCTCCCATTCTGAGATCTACCAGGACCAGGAGAGCCAGGGCCCTCCAGGCAAGGGCATCAGAACGTGTCTGTCTTTTTGAAGGTCAAGAGTTGCTTAGCTCTAGAATCAGCTGCATGGGGCGGTGGTGAGCTCCCCCTCCCTGGCAGTCTTCAAGCAGCAGCTGGACAAACACTTGTCAGGGATGCTCTCGGCCGATCCTGCATTGAGCAGGGGGTTGGACTAGATGGCCTCCATGGCCCCTTCCAACTCAGATTCTCTGACTCTACATAGGTCTCCCCAGAGGCAAACAGCAGTTCTGGGGGCCACCTCAACTTGAGAAAACCATATGGGGAGGAAAGGGTGAGGCCCCCTTCTCCCAACATCAGGAGGCCACAGTAACCTCCCTCGGAATGAAAGGGCATGTGCAATATGGAGAGAGGGTTTTAGTCACGCGGGATCGTGGCCCATGTATTAACTATTGTAAATTGTTTTATTGCGTTTTATTGCACTGTGTGCCATACTGTTGTAAGCCGCCCTGAGCCCGCATGCGGGGAGGGCGGGGTATAAATAAGATTAAATAAATAAATAAATAAATAAATAAATAAATAAATAAATAAATGGTTCTGATCCAAATCAGGCCCAGATGTACCGGGGAAACTACAGAGGACTTCGCAGAGAAGTGAGATTTCTTCATTGTTACAGCACACAACCTGTGTGGCTACTGGCATTAAAGTTGTGGTCAGCTTCTACTCCTGCCAAGTACCTCGGGCACGTTCACCATCTCCTTTCCCTCTCCACCCACTTCTGCTCTCCACGTTTAACCAAATTTCAATGCTTCTTATCAAGGGAAACGGTGACGTTCCGCCACTTACCTATGTTGTGGCCACAAGTCAACTTTACGTTAGATCGAAACAAACTCGCGTCTCCGAGGAGTGCGAACAGGACCTCCTGCATCTCAGGAAAATGAGAATGGGAAGGGGACGACTGCTTCTCCACTGATAAGCCTATCGCTGGCCTGGGGACCGAATGACCCTCGAGCGCCAGGCAAATGTTCACGGTACGCAACATCATTTCAATTTGCTCCAAGTTTTGCCCATCTGGGGGGGGGGAAGAGATTACAATATTATTACTGAAAGAATGCCTTGTTGCCCTTAAAGCTGTAGTTCTTTTAAATCATTTCTATGTTAAGGACAGTCTTGATGAGCAAGAGTCCTTCACAGGGCTGCTCCCCCCTCCCCCCCAAATCATCTCGCTATTATTTTTTTCACAACTTTCCGAAAGCCTGAAACTGAAATCTTTTTAGCCACTAAGTCCTTCAGTGTAAATGCATAAGGATATTTGCCGTTCTGTTGTTATGGACACTTAGACAGAAAAGCTTTAGCAACTAAACAAGTGCCCGTGCAACTGAAAGGGGGGGGGGGGAAATCACGGCACAGGGATATATTTGGTAGTGTTGTGCTTTAGCTATAAACCTTTCATTTTAAACAGTTAGCTCTGGTTTCACTTGAGACTGGGATACTTCGATTATATATACAACACAACTAAAACATCCGCCCTGTCTTCTCAAGAGGGATTCCGTGATTACGGTCAATTGTGAAATCCTGTTACAGCCAGCCAATAGGAATACCACGGATACTACAAGTCAGACCCTGAGTACTTTATATGTGACAAGGGTTACCCATCTGTTAAAGCAGCTGAACTGATACACACTGATAAAGCGTAATTTAACAGCCGTTAACCCAGGAAGTGGTAGTTAACAGTGTTTAAAACCCATAAAAACCATTAATGGATTGTGGAGTCCTAGTTCTAAAACTTGCCATCTCTTTCACAGCACTCAGGGGCCTGGTCTAGGATTAACGGGGCCCTCCGTGATCTAAATTTGTGGCTCTGATTTGTCGCAAAGAATTTTTCAGACTTGATGCCGGAATGGTTTTTTGCTGGAACGCCTGAGTGCTAGAGTGGAGGTGTCCATTCGGTAACTGACCACAGTCCAAATTAAAGTGACCTGGAGTGTGTGAATAGCAGCAAGTATCCTAATCTGGATACCTAAAAAAAAGGGGGGGGGTCCTTTCAATGTCGTAGGGTTGCCAACCTCCAGAAAGGAGATATCACAGGAGTTGGTCTGCTGAACATTAAGAATGTAAAAGATCCTTTGTATGATTCTACAATATTGTAATTGGGTGGTTTTGGTGTTCCACTTTTGAGGAAGCAATGCGATACGGCAACTGGAAGATGGCAGGGCCACCAAGTGGATACACCAAGTGGCGAGACGAGTTTTGCGAAGAGGAATTATAAATATTGATGTCTGGTCTTTTCACTGTTTGAGAAATTTGACTTGGACGATTTCTAACGTTATTTATGTATTTGGACCAAGTGTTCCGCCCTTTTGTATTTCTGAGTTACTGATTTGCATAGTATATATTATATACATTTTTGATAAACTCTATCACGTATGTAAGTTCATATCATTATATTGTCTGCTGAATGTTTTTCGTTATTTTTGCACAGGCTTCATTTTTTTGTTTAACTAACCTCCAGGTGGTAGCAGGAGATCTCCAGGGATTACAACTGATCTCCAGGCGACAGAGATCAGCTCACCTGGAGAAAACAGCCGCTTCGGAAGGTGGGCTCGATGGTGTTGCAATCCCCATCGCAGTCCCTTCCATCCACAAACCCCGCCCTCCTCAGGCTTCACCCCAAAATCTCCAGGTATCTCCCAACCCAGGGCTGGCAACCCTATCCATGTGCCTTTATGCTTCAGGAAATGTAGCTTTCATTCTAAGCACTGTAACAGGCAGAGGAAACCTCTGGGCTGAGAGAGCTCTTGACAGAAACTGCTGTTTTTCAAGAAGAACTCTTATCAGAACTATGGCTTGCCCAAGATCATCCAGCCAGGTGCAAGTGGAGGAGTGGGGAATCAAACCCGGTTCTCCCAGATTAGAGTCCGCGCATTTAACCACTACACCAAACTGGCTCTCACGATATATGTACACGATATAAATAAATAAATATTGAGCAATTCTTGAGAAAGAAGGCCGGAAATGACTTGTCAACCGGGAAGTCGTTGGATCGCTTATCTGGCAGTAATGATTACTTGTCCTACAGTGGTGAGACTGTTGAATTGCCTCTTCTATAGCAGCAAGCTCTGAAAAACATTACAGCTTGGATTACATCTATACAGGAGCTAGCGATTTAGATAGGAGAATATTTGGACTGTTCCCTTCATTTTTTTTTTTTTACTTTATGTATTTGATTCCTTATATATGAATTTGAATGAATTTTGTAACTACCTATAAGGTAATTATACTTCTTTAGTATATTGCACACAATTTATATTTATATTAAATATTATTCCATATATTGTATGTATACACGGTGCTTTCTATTGTTTTGTACTTATTCCATCATGGTCCCTGTTTTGTTGATGTCCTCTTCTGTGGCCATTGCCAATCACTTGGTGAAAACTCCTTTTTTGTTTCACTTGGCGTTCCGCAACAATTTATTTATTTATTTATTACTTTCAATTTATATCCCGCCTTCCCGGGCAACCTTCTTCCTCCCTGTCCTTATTTAAGCTCTAGTTTTAAATTGTTTAAATGATGTTTTGTGTGTTGGTTTTAACGGCTTTTTAGATGAGATTTTAATTTATTATGTTTCAACAGCCGCCTAGGTGACCCTAGAAAAGCAGAAAGGCAGAGTAAAAATCTTGTTAATAAGAATAAATAATAATAAACTGAAGATGGACATTCGATTACGGAACTCCGTTATGGCCGTGTGTACGCATACACGGCGTGCAACTGAACCACATCCCAAAGTTGTATGGTATGAAGCCTGACGTGAGAAAGAAGACGAGTCAAAATAAACTTCTGACCTTCAGTCATCAGTTCGTGAAGGACTTCATCTTGTAGCAGCTGATCAAGGGCTGGTTGGGGAAGATAGCCTAAAATGCAGAATGAGTATACAGCCCTCAGTAAGTCTACATTCGGGATCCTGGGCAGATAGCTGGTCAAGGCCCCATTCAGAACCTGAAGGAACCTTCAAGAAGAGGAGGAAGACAGAGAGAGAGATTGATCCACAAATTTGTAAACAAGATCAACCAGATTACTTACTTCTCAGTAAACATACTTAAGATTGCCCGGTGAAAATGACCTGGGGGGGGGGGATATGACCAATTTGTACTGTAATTAGTTCCCACGTGACACAATAACACTTGCAGTCCTCACCAAACAGCCACAGAGCTAGACCACGATAGCCTAGGGCTTTAAGTCTACACCTGGATACAGGGATGAGCCCCTCCTCCCCTTTCCTTTGGGAGGAGGAGGATAGAATATTTCTTTATAAAGTACATATGTAGGCCCCAGTTACTCTCAATGGGCCATACTATGCAGAGCTTACACTCTTCTAAGCCCACTGACTTCAACCACCCTTGTGTGCGTGTGTTTGTATTAAGTGCCATCAAGCCACTTCCGACTTCCGGCGACCCTACAAATTCATGTCCTCCAAAATGTCATATCCTTCCACAGCCTTGCTCAGGTCTTGCGAACGGAGGGCCGTTGGCTCCCTTGGTTGAGTCAATCCATCTTATGGTGGGTCTTCCTCCTCTCCTGCTGCGTTCAACTTTCCCTAGCATTACTGTCTTTTCCAGGGACTCTTGCCTTCTCATAAGGTGACCAAAGTACGAGAGCCTCAGTTCAGTCATTTTAGCTTCTAGGGAGAGTTCAGGCTTGATTTCATCTAGAACCCACTTATTTGTCTTTTTGGTGGTCCAAGTATCCATAAACCTCCTCCAACACCACATTTCAAAGGAATCAACCTTCTTCCTCTCAGCTTCCTCCACGGTCCAACTTTCAGACCCATACATAGGAATGGAGAAAAAGTATGGCATGAATTAACTTGATCTTGGTGGCCAGTGACACATGTTATCCAGCTCCTTCATGGCTGCCTTTCCCAGTTTCAGCCTCCTTCTAATGTCTTGGCTGTGGTCTCCCTTTTGGGTGATGATGGAGCCAAGGAATAAGAAGCCTTCGACTGGAGGCATGTTTTGGTCCTGTTGCATAGAAGCAGCCTTTAGAGGTGCTGACTGGAACTTAGGAGACCTTGCTCAATGTTAAAGAAACAGAATAACATTATCCTAGGAAATGGAATAAGACTCCCCATAGTTGTTCTTTGTTCCTGAGGAAGGACCAGAAGTCTGAAACACTGAAAATTACCTAGGAAAAGTGTTGGATGTTTATCTTGTATATTTATACTTTGTACTATGTATTTTCCTATTATGGATCTTGTTGGCTTCTGTATTTTTCTATGGGGGATTATATGAATAGATTCATTTCAGACTATATATGCATTTCACTTTGTTGAAGTCTCTTTTTGTATATATATTTTTGCGGGAGATTCAGCTCACAGTTGTTTCCTGTTTTTCTTAACTTTGTCAACCACCTTTAGAAGACTGAAACTGCTTGGGATGGTCCTATCAACCTATTATAAAAACATCTGCAGAAGTAACTACAGCTTGCATTTGGGAGCCACAGATATAAGTCTTCTGTTCCGTGATGGAAATGCCCTTTCCTCCAATCCAACACCAATTCCAGTACGGGATGAGTGATGGAATTCCCACAGCTACTCCATCCCAAACGTGGCTTAATATCTTTGGTGCTGGAGTAGAGGCCGACGTTTGGTGGCTGACCGTGTTCAAAACTGAAGTGATCTGGACCGTGGGAATAGCAATACCTCATCTCCAAAAGCAAGTTAGCTCAGTGGATGGGCCACGTTTGCACTACAGAAGCACAAATATCCCCATTTGCTACTGGAAGTCCCCAGAAATCTGAAATCACATGAAGCTTCTATTTCTAGCTATCATGGTTACAATCAGTGATAGGCCTAACATTCATGGATCTGCCCAAGGTACCTATGTCAAAGTCCTACTGTAATGGCCTCAGGTAAAAAAAAATCTGAACAAAAATGATGACACCAGAACAAAAATTATTCCAGAGCCAGAACCTACTGCTGATCCTGGCCTTCAGGGAGGTGGTTGAGCACAGAATAGGCTCGAAGAACAGCCAGAATATCCTTCAAAATCAAGGAATCGGGATGAGATATCACTTTCTCAGCAAAAGCATCCATCAGACTGGCTGGGCGAAAGCCAAGATTCTCAAAGGCGGAAAGGAAGAGGACCACCTGAAATCAAAAGAATACCCATTTAATTCAATTTTATTATCTGCACACTACTGAGACCGCAGCCTGAACAGTAAGCCACAATTTAAATGACTTGTTTAGGAACTTTGAGAATAAACATCTCTTGGGCCATAGCGGTAGCTCTTCAGATCCTAGACACCAACATCTTCTGAATATTGCTAATCTCCCTTATAATCCATCCAGGCATCTCATTTAAGTGCCCGAATACAAACTGTCTGACCTACGCTTCCCATCCCACTGCTGACAATTTCATCTGTACAGTTGATCCAAACTGCAAGACTGTCCTACTTCTGAAACAAATCTCTATCTGGTTAATTTAAGATCTTATTTCTACTGGTTTTATGGTAATCTATGGCAATACTTCAAAGGGGAAAATATAAATACAATTTCAACACTTTGATGCCACTGGAAAAATATACATGCCGGAATAAGTCTGCCAATAGCCTCTTGTCTGTCTCTGGGAGCTCTGGGGAGCGAGCCCAGGGCTGCTGTCCCCCTCTGGGGTTCCCTTTTCCTTAGGCAGTCTGTCCCAAGAAGCCTCAAAGTAGCAAATAGGGAGGGGGGTTGAAGTTCACCCTGTTCCCTCTCCCTCTCCATTGGCTTTTGGTATGCTTCCCGGCTCTTCTTCCCCCTCGGCCCTCTTCCCATCTGCCTTTTAAAGGCCACTCTGGAGGCAGACCAACCCCGGGCTCCTCCATTCCCTCTTCAACCCCGTGAGGACTTGGCCTGACAGGTCCAATAAGGCATCAGGCTTTATTTTGTTAGCATTATTATTATTATTATTATTATTATTAGATTTTTAAACCGTCGCTCACCCGAAGGGTCTCGTGGCAACTTACAACATTAAAAACGATAAGGTAAAACAACATAAAAACAAATATAAAACGTTAACATATTCAATTATTAAAATACATGGCTATCACCATGAGCCTGCCTCGGCAGGAAGGGCAGGATAAAAATCGAATAAATAAATAAATAAATACCAGTACTAAAACTGCCAAAACATGTGGTTACCCTCCAAAGGCCAACCTATACAATACGGCCTTGCATGCCCTGTGGAAATTAAATAAGTCAGGCAGGGCACAGGTGTCATCCGAGAGTGCATTCCACAGGACAGGGGACACAACTAAGAAGGCCTTTCCCCTGGTGGCAGTTAACTGAGCCATCCTGGCTTGCTGACTGAAGCCCCTCAGTCCCCTACCACACCTTCTAAGCTCAGTATCTCACTCTCACCTGGGCTGGATAAAGTACCTGCCTTACCCTTATCCCCCGGGCTCCGCTCCCCTAAGAGGCCCCGTCTGCGCCTCCCAGTCAGAGGCTCATTCATCAACTTGCCTCCCCTCTGCCATTATTTTCTTCCCCCAAAACACTCCCTCTGCCTCCAGCTTGTGATCCAGCCGGGGACGGCACCATGCCATCCCTCAAAGTCCCACGGCCTGATCCACCCCCTTCCTCTGTTGCACTGCAGCTTGCCATGTCTCTTGGGGACCCAGCTGGTCCCCTCCGCCCCCCAGCTTTGCTGCCACTGCCTGCCACCTTTGGAGGATTCCCAAAGGGCTGGCAACGAACTCCCCACCGGAGGTGAGCATGCAGGGGTGGGGTGTGCTACCCCCAGACACCTATAAAGCACTATGAAATAAGCTGTAGCAACAAAGTACAGATGATAAACTGTATTAAGAATGAAAGCTTCATCTTCCAAGCTGAAGCCAGAATAAAACAGCACAGAGGTCAAGGATCCTCACTGGCCAGAACCCTGGGCTTGTGCTGAAGATCAACTGAGATCTCAGAGAAAGATAATCAATCTCCATATTTATTTATTTATTTATTTAATTCCATTTCTACCCCGCCCTCCCCGCATGCAGCCTTTTCAGATTTCAGCATACACACTGGACTGCTGCCCTTAGTTTGATCTCTGAATCTGGATTTCAAAAGGCGTATAGACAGCAAAAGGTAATCAAAATGTGTGACCAGCGTAAAGGCATTTCTAGGGTACCAAATGGTCAGGTCTGCACAAGAATTCATTTGGCTCTTGCAAAGCTACTGATGGGTCTATGAATAATCACCACCACCACCATCACCCGTTTACCTGTTTAGTGTCCCACATGTAGAAGGCTGATGCTGCGTAATCGGCTATGGCAGAAAAGAGTGCACTGTTGCGATACAGAAGGTCATTACATGATCTCAGAATGGTCAGCAGCCGCCAAAACGGAATTCCCTCGATATTCTCTAGTATACACGCAGAAGAAGGGGGAAGAGGAAAAAAAAGTTCAGAAGTGGTACTTAATGCCGTAAAAACCCCATGCGGGTTTCGTGCATTTACTGAGTCATAAATATGCTGCGGGAACAAATATTACAGCGGTTGAGAATACAGGAGTAAAAGATGACGGACAGCAAAGCCCTGTGCACGGTCACACAATGCAGTGGAACTCCGGACTTCCTTTTGACAGGCTGACACCTCCTTCCCCCCCAATGCCATTACAACAAACTGACGCTGAAGCCTCACTCCGTCATTAAATCCACTGGCCACACGGCATTTTGGGGGGGGGGGGGTTGCACGTTCAAGAAAAATAAACCTAAAGACCCAGGGGGCTCACGGAACTAGCTGTACTGTTCTTTCAATCCTGGCCCATGCCGATTGGTACCTAAGGCTAACCCAAATGTAACTCCATGCAAAGTGCTGGATAATTGTTTTCTTTCACCATCCTCAATTCTGACTTTGGTTATCTTTTGTTGTTGTTCCTCACTAGGTGGCTCTCTGTAAAACCTTACTAAACAGGTGTCTTCCTCCAGCTTAAAGGAAATGGAAGGCCATGGCTCAGTGGCAGAGCATCTGCTTGGCATGCAGAATGTCCCAGGTTCAATCCCCAGAAACGCCTTCTAAAAGGATCACCTAAAAGTAGGTGATGTGAAGGACCTCAGTCTGAGACCCTGGAGAGCCGCTGCCAGTCTGAGTAGACAAGACTGACCGCGATGGACCGATGGGTCTGATTCGGTATAAGGCAGCTTCATGTGTTCAGTCTCTTCCAAATGGTCACAAAAATGTCATCAGAATGAACTAGTAAAGGGGGGGGGGAGCAGTTTGAGACATTCACAACAACTTACCTATTATTTTGTCACTGCAAGCGTTCAGAATAGGCAGGGAGCGAAAATTCATTTCAGCCAGCGCACTGAACATATGATAAGCATTTGGGAACGTCAGCTGATCGATCTGGCTCAAAATCTTGTTCTGAAAAGCAAAACGGGCTGAAATTAGATTCAGGTGGGTGGCCCTCTTGGTCGGAAGCAACAGAGCAACGTTCAAGTCGTGGCACCTCTAAGACCAACAAAGCTTAATTCTGGGTATAAGCTTTCATATCCATGCACACATCTTCAGATACTGTCATGATCTGGGCTGTGCCACCAGAGGCCTACTAGGCCCAGGGGGCCTGGCTAGCAGTAGGTGAAGCTGGGCCTACAACTCCCAGAAGCCCCTGAGAGGTTTTGGAGCCAAAATTGGCCAATAGGGAAGAAGAGGGCTGGGGAACAAAAGGGCTGGTGCCAGAGCAGAAGCTGTTCTTCTTCTCAGAGGGCAGAGCTAGAAGGCAGGCTGCTGCAGGGAAGAGACCCTCATCCTGAGGGAAGGGTGAGTAGTCTAAGGCCACTTGAGATAGTGAGCTAGGGACAGTATATATTTAGACGTGTTAGGGCATTTGATTTCTTTTCTTTTCACTCACTTACTGTTATTATTCTGCACCTTGTTGTTTGACCTCCTATAAAATAAACCTTTTCCTTGCTTCACTCTGCCTGGTCCTCACGCCTGTTATTCGGCCAAAAGGTCTTGGGAGGGTAGTCTGGGCCTTCTCAAGGGAACCTAAATCCGGAGTTGTGGCAGCGTCAGGTGACACCCCACATGAATCATGACAGATATGTATCTGATGAAGCATGCATGCAAATGAAAGCTTATACCCAGAATTGAACTTTGTTGGTCTTAAAGGTGCCACTGGACTCAGACTGAAATTAGACAGGCAGACAAGTCGCTGTCCTAACAAGAAAAGGGTGGGAGAGGTACTGCCTACTGTGCAGCGGAAAGACCACAGACCCCCCCCCCCCCGGCCACTCCCCCCCCCCCCCCGGCACCTAACCTCAAGTGACAATTCAGAGTAAGTGGAGATGCAGAAAAGGCTCAGCTGCTCCAGACTTCCACTAAACTAAACTGTTTCCCATGTTTATTTAAAACATTTGTTTGTTGCCTTTCTTCCTATGGAGCTCAAGGAGGCTTACAATATTAATAAAACACATTAAAAACTTTAAAAAACATAAAACCAAAATTTAAAGACCACAATTTAGGACAGCTTTAATTAAACGCAGCCCTAAATCAAGTCTTCGGCTGCCTCCTAAAGATCAAAAGTGACTCCTTTGACGGCTCCCTCACCATTTCTTTTTCATCCCGGTGCACTTTTGTGTTTGCTTAAAAAACGGAGCAACAAAAATCAGGGGCAGAAACACATTTACTCCTATTGCATAGCTGCCATTACGGGAGTTGACGTGAAAGAACCGGTGTCTTAGCTACAAGATGGAACTCAAAGCCGTCCAAGCAACTGAATCTTCTCTCCACGTCTGAAGCAATGTGGGGAAATTACACAGCAAGCAGGTAACATTTAGAACAGTCTGGGCAGCACTTCCAGTCATTCCCGATTTCCTGACTGGGACTGCATCCGTGACACGACCACGTCTCTAATTATACCTCCACTTTTGTCTTAAGAGAGAGAGGCGAGTCCACTCCCATACATTTCATCATCGTTTGCAGCATAAACAGGCTGGAGATCTTTGGGATTCGTTGCTCCACCAGTAATCTAGTGAGAAAGTTAATGGACTCCGTCAGGAAGCAAATACGGATCAGGCACAAACGTGTGTCGCAAGCAGGTAACATTGAGAACGGTTCAAAAGTATACTTATTTGTTTCCTTCATTTATACCCTCCCTGCCTACCAGCTTACATCATTCCCCTCTCTTCCATTTTGTCCTCATAACTACCCTGTGCAGTAAGGTCTAGTTGGGAGAAAGTCACTGGCCCAAGGTCACCCAGCCAGCTTCCACGGCAGAGCGGGGATTCAAACCTGGGTCTCCCAGATCCTAGTCCAACACTCTAGCCACTACAACACACTGGCTCCCAGCAAAGCAACATATATGGAACCACACAGCAACATATGAACGAGGCACTGCAGTTTAGGTGGCATATACCAACCAGTTGGAGATTACTGAAGATTATTTTACACAGTCTGACGTGAACACGTGAAGCTGCCTCCTGATGAATCAGACCCTTGGTCCATCAGAGTCAGGACTGGCTACACAGACTGGCAGCAGACAGAAGTCTTTCCCATCACCTACTGCCTGGTCCTTTTAACTGCACATGCTGGGGATTGAACTGGGAACTTTCTGCATACCAAGCAGAGACTCTGCCACTGAGCCATGGAAAATTTACCTGGATTAACTGAGTCACTATCAGAGTCCTTGGAGCAGGAGGAGGAGGAGGAGGAGGAGGAGGAGGAGGAGACTGGATTTATACCCTGCCCTTCACTACCCAAAGGAGTCTCAGAGCGGCTTACACTCTCCTTTCCCTTCCCCTCCCCACAACAGACACCCGGTGAGCCAGGTGGGGCTGAGAGAGCTCTTTTGAGGACTGCCCTTGAGAGAACAGCTCCGAAAGAACTGACTGACGCAAGGTCACACCAGCAGCTGCATGTGGAGTGGGGAATCAAACCCAGTTCTCCCAGATTAGAGTCCGCACTCCTAACCACTACACCAAACTGGCTCTATAGATGACTACAGAACAAAGTTGGGGTCCAGTGGCACTTTAAAGACCAAGACAGTTTTATTCAAGGTATGAGCTTCCGTGTGCATGCACACTTCCTCAGATACATGTGGCTGTGCACGTAATCTACAATCTACAAGAAGCAGGAGACTGTGCTTGCCCGACCCACCTTGCAGAGGTCCCCACCTGCACACAGGCACCTGCTCACTAAGGAGGGGGCTGTGGCTCAGGGAAAGAGCCTGTGCTTTGCATGCAGAAGGTCCCAGGTTCAATGCCTGGCATAGTCAGTTAAACAGACCCAGCAGTAGGTGATGTCAAACACCTCCCACAGAGACCCTGGAGAGCCACTGCCAGTCTGAGTAGACGATACTTGACCTTGCGGGCCAAGGGTCAGAATCAGGATAAGGCAGCTTCATGCGTGAATCCCAGTGAGTGTTACAACCACTGATGCCACCACTGCTTAGAGGGCACCTGAAATTTGTTTGCCAGGTACCTCTTTGCTAGCTAAACTTTGTAAAAGTTTTGAGCTCACACTTCCTTAATTCCTGAATGTCTCATTGGAGAACACAACTCATGGTCTCCCATCCAAGGACTAGCCAGGGGTGACCCTGCTTAACTTCCAAGATCTGATGGAGATCAGGCTAGGCTGCGCCATCCAGATCAAGGCTGAATAACTGTAAGAAGAAGAAGAGATTGGATTTATACCCCGCCCTTCACTACCCGAAGGAGTCTCAGAGCAGCTTACAATCTCCCTGTCCTTCCCCTCCCCACAACAGACACCCGGCTGTGAGGTAGGTGGGGCTGAGAGAGCTCTTTCGAGAACTGCCCTTGACAGAACAGCTCTGAGAGAACTTGTGACTGACCCAATGTCACACCAGCAGGTGCAAGTGGAGGAGTGGGGAATCAAGCCTGGTTCTCCCAGATTAGAGTCCGCCGCTCTTAGCCACTACACCAAACTGACTCTCACCACCTGCAAAACAAAGATATATTAGACAAGACCCTTTGCTTTTTCCTTACTGCAATCCAGTTTGGAGAGCTTCCACATTCTTGCATTTTTCCATCCCTTGCAAAGTGGAGGCGACAACGGAAAGACTCCGGTCATCAAATTCATTCAGACGCTCCTATTCAAAACACAAGGCCTGGGAAGTTAGGAGGAGGCTGAGCTGCCAGTTTTCGGCCGCCTGTCAGCCAAGAGGAAAAAAAGATGGGCCGTATAAAGATCTCAATCTTGAAACAGTTGATCATGAGAACTGAATCCAGAGCAATGCATTTTCAGTTCAAACTCCACCAGACCGCTTGAGCAACATTAAAGGTGTCTACTTACCCTGTCTGCAACAAGATCATGCCACAATGACTCTTGTATTCAGGGGCAGACTAGGAGGTAAAAACAGTCCTGGAAAGCCACCACTGCGGGTGTCTTCCACCCTGAACAGCAGCTGCAGCAGTCACTGTCACTGAACACCCATCTGCCTTGGGTGGGGGGTGCTGGTTTGTGGCAGCAGCAGCTCCTCCCCCGTTGCGGAGGCCGCCAGCTAGCAGTGGTAGTAGCTCCCACCCACTTGGTGCCCCTCCTCCTCTTCTGGGGGCTGCCAGCTCCCATAAGGTGGGGGCCACCAGTGTGCGGCAGCCAACAGTTCTCACTCCCCTTGTGGGGGTCGCCACCTCACAAAAGCAGTGGCTCCCACCCACTCCACGTAAGGCTAACCTACAGTCTGGGCAGGCCCACTGGAGGGAAGCGTCTGTCCCCAGTGGTGTTAGTGGCCAGTCCGCCCTGCTTGTATTCTTGAGAAAAACAATAGGGTGCACGGAGCTTTTCTATCTGCAAAAAGACAGACGATAAATTAAACTGGAGGATTCTTCATGCGGACTATTAGTGTATAATGATGCAACGTCCATAGTTACGAGTACTGCACCCAAAGGAATTTTCATTCCTTCAATTTTAGAGATGAAATCCTTCGTATCTTTAATAAAGAAGGGGATATTGACCACAAAAGATTGTAAAAACGTATCTAGATACTGCAATATCCCCTCCTTTACTAAAGATACGAGGGATTTCATCTCTAAAATTGAAGGAATGAAAATTTGTTCACTTTTCTATGATTCTTTAAAGACATATATTCTCCGTATTATCTCATTCCTGTGCCAATCAACTGTTATTATACTAAGGTAGGGTTGCCAGCTCCACGTTGGGAAACACCTGGAGATTTGGAGAGGGGAGGGACCTCAGCAGGACATAAGGCCACAGAGTCCACCCTCCAAAGTAGCCATGCTCTCCAGGAGAATTCATCTTGGTTGTCTGGAGATCTCCAGGTGCCACCTGGAGGTTAGCAACCCTATCACAAGCCTTTTAAAAAAAAAAACAACAACAACACACACACACATTTTCTCTTCCTGACACACGCCTGCTGCTTCAGATATTCTGGAGAGCAGCAGCGTTGCTGCAGCCGGGGATGAAGTTGCTGCAGTAGCAGCAGAAGTCACCATCACAGTCAGAAAAGGCTGCTCACACCAACCCCCCCTCCCCCCTGCCGTTGGGCTAGTTCCTATAGTGACTGCCCAGGCTTCTTCACCTCCCTTGTTTCTCCTGCAAGGCGTGGGAGGGCACAATCTGAACAACTTCCAAGCAGAGCAGGCAAGCTGGCTGAGTGTGTGAGGCAGGGAAACAGGAGAGGGAGAGAGAGAGAGCGCGCGCAAACGGAGCGCAAACGGCAACTTTATCAGGCAACTTCTTGTCAGGAAGGCCAGGCAGGCAGCCTGCACAGGACTGGGGGACGCTCTTGCTCTGCAGTCCTGGAGTACAACTGGACCGAAGATGGGGTCTCAGAGCCTGTGGGCACTCTAAAATTGCAGAAGCCAGCCCCTCCTGTCCTCCCTCCAACCCAGGTTCTCTCCCCCTCCTCCCTCAGGTCTGTGTTCCGCGTTTCTCCCTTTCCCTCTCTCCCCCCCCCCCCCAAACTCCTGAGACACAGGGATTTTTGGGTATGGAGTACCGTGGGGGGGGGGGAGGCTGCTTTTCCTCCGGAAGAACAGGATAAGCCTTGGAAGACTCTGCCTGAGTCGAGTCCACCCGCAGAGACGGTTTTTGAGGTGGCGGTTTGTGCTGCCGGGTGGTTGTCGCCGCCAGCGTTCTTTGCGGGGCGTGTGCAGCCACGCCATTTCCCTTGGGCTCCCGAGTGTTCTACAGGGGATCTGTCAGTAGAGAACGCCGTTTAACTTTTCGGGGGTTTAAATATACTTTATACTTTTTTAAACATGTAAGAATTTTCTGCACAACTGGAGCGTGCTTCAAGTGTGCTGAAAGATCTCCTTGCCCCCTGCATGCCCCAGATTTGTGGGAATAAGTATCTGCACACAGGGGGCACCTTCCCTATTAGATATATAGATAGTACAGTCATATAAATATAAAGTATAAACTTCTGGTCCAGGAATCGCCTTCCTATGGTTGTAGAGCCAAATTGTCCTCAAGCAAAGACACTGCTCTTTGCTTGAGGACAATTTGGCTCTACAACCATAGGAAGGCGATTCCTGGACCAGAAGTTTATATCTGAGAACCATTTGGCATGTGATTGCACTTTTAGAGGCCTCATATGTATTTTTTACTCTGTGCCTGGTGGTTTTATCTTGAAACAACTTGCTTCTGGTCCTTATTGAATTTATACTTTGTATTTATGATTGTACTATCTATATATCTAATTCCCAACTGTGCCCCTGTATGCGGATACTTATTTCCAGAGACAGGGAACACGTGGAGGGAAAAGAGATTATCCTGCACACGTGGGCCACTTGCCAGGTGTGCAGAAAAATATAAAAACTTTAAAAAACATAAGGGGGAGTTAAAAAACAGCCAAAAAGTAAAACAACGTTCACTGCGGCTCATCTGTCTGTGGGGCTAGCATAAGACCTCAGTGTTTGTATATGTCAGAAAAGGGCTTACAAAATCATATAGCTCCCAGTGATTCATGCCATCCCCCCCAAAAAAATGCACTCCCAAATGCTCCAAGTGACTGGGAAATACTGGCAAGGTCATATCTGGAAAAAGAGACTCTTCCTGACTCTGGCTGGCTGTTACTGGGATTCCAACTCTAGGCTGGGTGCATCTTCTCTCCCAGTAAGAGTAGCAGGAAGTGGTGATGACAACGTGTCATGCAGCAACCAGGTCACACAAGGGTGGAGGCGTGAGTTTGCTGGAACCCGGTGAGAACAAAGAGAACAAAGGCGTGAGTTTGCTGGAACCTGGTGAGAACCCAGGCAAAGTCAGCCATTGGGGTGTTCAGTAATAATGCTCTTGGCGACCGCTCTGCACTGGGGTGAGGGATGAGTTTGGGCAGCGGTGGGGGAGGGGACCTCTCGGTGGATTCTCTTTATCCAAACATCCTGTTCCCAAAGGAGCTAAATGCCTCTCTGTGGGAATGGACTGATTTGTGCCTATAGATACATTATCACCCCATGCTCAAAATGGTGCTCCTAATTTTAGGCGCAATAAGAGTCTTGCTGTTCTCTCTTTCCTTCACTCTTCCCCTTCTTCACTTTTTCCTTCTTTCACAGGTTTCCTTACATGCATAGAATATAAGTTCCAAACTATGATCTTTGGAAAAGGAAGAAAAAGAGGAAGAGGCTGGCTGGCTGGTAGGTAGGTAACCAGCAATTACAAGTTAAAACAAGTCACAACACATTATGCAACATTTTGTTGCGGGTCCTCTCTTGTATTTGTATAATAGCCAATATGTTCCTCACTACTGACCTCTGAGGAAGGCCTATGTAGGCCGAAATGCATCAGGTCAGGTTTATCAGCCCTTGTGTTTTATCGCTTGTTATTTATACATAATGTGTGATTGGGCCCTTATATAATTTTAAAATTTGTGATTAATACATTTTTTAATACATATCCTTCATTAAGTTTTTAATATTGGCCTCCTTTCTAGCATCTGACTAACCTTTGTCAGGTTCTGGATTCTTTTAGGTTCAGTTTTTCCCCCCTTTCCCCTGTTTTGTCCTTGGTATCAGACTCCCCACACTGGAAGGGGTGCCTTTGGTGCCGACCCAGAAAGTGAGGAGCCTGGGAGTAACACTGGATGCCTCTCTCTCTACGGAGGCCCAGGTTACTGCAGTTGCCAGATCTGCATTCTTCCATCCAGATCTCCCCCCCCCCCCAGGACTTAGCTACAGTGATCCACGCAATGGTCACTTCCAGGCTTGATTACTGCAACTTGCTCTATGTAGACTTAACCTTGAGGCTGACCCGGAAATTACAACTGGGGCAAAATGCAGGGCTTTCTCTGCTCTGGCTCCTGCCTGGTGGAACACGCTCCCAGTCAAGATTAGGGCCCTGTGGGATCTTCTTCAGCTCTGCAGGGCCTGCGAGACGGAGCTGTTCCACCAGGCTTTGGGCTGCGGCAGCAGATGTCCCTATATGGCCTCCCTGAGATTGCTGTCACTCACCTTCCAACCCAAATAATACGCTAGGGAACCTCCCACAACCAGCTGTCTTGTCTGAATTGTGATTCTGTTTTAATGTTTATTATTGTTTTAAATGGTTTAATTTTTTAATTGTATTCACTGTACTGTTATATGATGTCACCCGCCCTGAGTCCGCTCGCAGGATGGGCGGGTTATAAATACAAATCATAAATAAATGTATCAGCGCTTTCCTGCTCTTTTCTACATTCATGGCCCCATTTGACAATTATGATCTTTTATGAACTACATGCTGCAGGCACCTCTGAAATTCCGTATGGGCTGTAAAAGGTCCTGTAGCTTACCTAACACATCTGTGAAAACGATCCTGTACAAAACTCAAAGGTAAAATCCAATTATCGTAAGAAAATGAAGTTTGCTTGCAGACAAGGTCTGTTGTTGTTCAGTCGCACAGTCGAGTCCGACCCTTCTCAACCCCCTGGACCACATCACGCCAGGCCCTCCTGTCCCCCGTCATCCTCCGGAGTTTGTTTAACTTCATGTTCAGACAAGGTCACAAAGCTTCTGAATTCCAAAAGTCCAATTTTATGGAAGAGGTTTCCGGATAGTAATACTTTCTTTTCAATTAAATCTTCATCAGAATATTTTCTTAAGCCTCACTGAACAAGATAAAATAAACTTCAATCAGTATAGGATTTCTTTCATT